CTACAACGAAGAACAATACGAATTTTGACAGGAGCTAAATTTAGGGAACACTGTAAAACGCACTTTATCGAACTAAATATTCTTACTCTTCCTAGTATTTATGTTCTCAATTGCCTTATTTATGTTAAATCTCACACTGCAGACTATAAACGACACAATGAAATACATAGCCATGACACTAGAAACAATAGTGCGCTATGTTTAAATAAGGTTAGATTAAAAAAAATTCAAAATAGTGTAAATTATTTTTTAATATTTAATAAATTGCCGATGTCTATTAAAGAACTTAATATGCCAAACTTTAAAACAAAAATCAAAGAATATTTAGGTAAAAACGCATATTTTAACATAGAAGATTTTCTTACAGATAAAGATATAAACAGATTGTGAGTTGTTCATAGCTATAGGTAATGATATGACTTGTATGAAAAATATTTTGTAACTACGTACTAATAAAGTTATTTATTTATTTATACTCAGCATACTTTGCACAAGATTAAAATAAGTTCACGCATTCATTAATTTTTTTGTGACACTCCGTATAAGCCAATCTAAAAAATATGAATCGAATGATACATCACAAATACAGACTCTTCATATTTCGTATATTCTAGATAGCATTTATTCGGCAAACTTTTGAGCTGACGTCATCAATTTTTTGGAAGGGACAAGTAAATATATTTTGATTAAAAAGTTATCATGCTTATCATAACTGTAAACCATCTGCAAGATTTCAAAGCATTCGGTTTTGCAAATTCAAAATTAAATTGTAAAATGTTGTTTCGGGTAAAAACTCAATTCGGAGTCATACATTAAATGTGTAGGACTATGTTATTTTATACAATTTAAAACCCATTTACTACGCACAATTTTTAAGTGACGTTATCACATTATTGGCGGGGATGATTAGACAAATTTTTGGTTAGCCTTTTACCATCTACATGATATTCCTAATATAAATACAAAATTTCGACAATCGACCCAGTACTTTCGGAGATTATTTATCTAATAAAAATTCGTGGCAAACAGACGGACAGACAGACGGAAACGGGAGACCTATTTGTTTGTACTCTAGGGGTCATGAAAGGTTGAGAAAACGTAAAAGCAGAGAGTCGGTCGACGGATTCGATTACAATACTTGCTTACGCTGAGGAAGTAAAAATAGTTCTCCGTCTGTCTGCCGTCTGTCCGGATTTTTATTAGACAGATAGTCCCCGAAACTACTGGACCGATTGTCAAATTTTATATGTGGTTAAAGAATATCGTGTAGATGGTGAAACGCCAACCAAAATTTCATGGAAAACTTTTGGACCTAATTTTTTTCAATTCTGAATGCGTGGTCGAGAAAGCAGTCTCGCCATTGGTAGATGAAGATTTACATCACCCCGCTTTTTATTTACGCATAAAAACAATTCTTAAGAGTTCTTCCCTTCTGGATTCTTCTGGATTCTTAATTTATGGGGGCTGACCGTGGCCAGCCGGCACTTAGGCCTCGCCTTTGGGCCCATTGTACCTTCCCCAAGTCCATATCAGGGTGTTTTCCCGCTCCTCTACTCGTCAAGCCACCCAACTGCTTGAATGTACTTGAGTAATGCAGAGGGTGGAAACTCCCTGATATTTGCCATACTAGGCCAGATGTCCCCTAGTATGGATTCCCTGTAGGAGGCTAGGGCTGGACACTCACGAAGAATGTGCTCAGCTGTTTCCTCTTCTTCATTGCATCCACGACAGATTGGGTCTGTTACCACCCCTATCGTATATAGATGTTTGTTAAACTGGTAATGTCCCGTAAGGAATCCTACCAGTTTACGCAGTTTGTCCCTTGAAAGTGAGAGATAAAATTTCGTCAACTTACGGTCTGGTGTCGCCATACAAGCTCTACTATGCCGACAGCTGCTCAACTTCACCCATATCTGCTCATGGCGTCTCTGGGTATATTGCTTTACGAGTTCGTTCGAGAGGGCGACCGAAGGCGTGATTGCCGGTTCGGGTCCTCAGAAGGGCATGCGCGCGGCTCGCTTCGCCATCTCATCTGCCCTCTCGTTTCCTTCGTTGCCACTGTGTCCTTTGATCCAACAAAGTTCCACACTATTCCTCTGCGTTACATACTTTAGCGTTTGTCTGCACTCCCAAACCAGCCCGGATCGAACCATACAGCTGTCCAGGGCTAGTAGTGCAGACTTGCTGTCAGTAAGTATGCGTATTGATTTGTTGCCGATTTCACGTTCAGCAATGATTCTAGCTCCCAGCATTATTCCCATCAGTTCTGTTTGTAAGACAGACGTGTGGGTGCCGAGAGGTAGAGTTCTTCCCTTCCTTTTCGTTTGAATAGTAAAGATCGATGTTACAATTTCAAGAATGCATGATATTATGGATGTTAACATAGCATGCTCTATGTTTTATAACAAATTATATGCTTTATTTGATCTGTCAATACCTAAATCTGCTCCCAGAAATCAGCGTCACTATCCCCCCTGGTTCACATCTGAAGTAATAACTAACCTGCGTGTTAAATCGTCAATGTATAAACAATTTAAAAGGACTAAAAATCAATACCATTTCAATTTATTTAAAACTCAGCGTGCTTTCTGTAAAAAACTTATTAGTGAAGCATATAAAGCATACTTGTGTTCTGCTGAGAACTCATTATCTAATGATCCTAAAAAATTATGGTGTTTTATAAATAATAAAAAAGGATCGACACGTATTCCAGGCTTACTATTATATCATGATAACATCGAGATTTCGAATCCTCTTGAAATAATTAATGCGTTCGGCCATTACTTTAATAATGTTTTTATTCCTCCGTCTCCTCTTGCTGCTGACAGCATCTCTGTACATTGCAACCCCGGATCGTCGATAATCTCTTGCAACAATCCAAAAACTCGTTAACATCGGGAGTTGACAATGTTCCTAGTTTTATACTTAGAGATTGCGCTCATGTCCTTGCTGATCCTCTTTATACTATTTTTACTTTAATTTTGCAACGCTCAGAGTTTCCTGGTATTTGGAAAAAAGTCATGATTTGTCCAATTTTCAAAAAAGGTAAAGCTAATCAAATTTCGAATTACAGACCTATATCCTTGCTTTGCAATTTTGTGAAAACTTTTGAATCAATTTTATATAAATACATCTATAATTCAGTTAAACATTTAATATCTCCTTACCAGCATGGATTTATGTTAAACCGTTCAACTGTCTCCAACTTAACAGTATTTTCACAGTTCGTCTCAGAAACGCTCGATGCCAAAGGACAAGTTGATTGTATATATATAGACTATTCCAAGGCATTTGATCAAATCGATCACCATATACTATTACAAAAGCTTCGTATTCTAGGTTTTTCTGATTCTTTACTAAAATTATTTTTGTCTTACCTCTCTGATGGTGAATTTAGGGTCAGATATTAATTATAACTTCACGTCCTCTGCTTTTTCTCCCACATCTGGGATACCCCAAGGGTCTAACCTGGGGCCGTTGATTTTTCTTTTATTTATTAATGACCTTGCAGATGTGGTATTGTGTGACAAATTAATGTTTGCCGATGATTTTAAACTTTAATCGAAAATTGAGTCTTTACATGATTGTGCATTGCTTCAACGAAATATCGAAAATATTGTGGAGTGGTGTCTGGAAAATCGTCTGTCTCTGAATAAAAGCAAATGTAATGTAGTATCTTATTCAAGAAAACACATAAATATTATTTACGAGTATAACATTAATGGTTCCACTATTGAGAGATGTCATACAGTCAAAGATTTAGGTATAATATTTGATAGTAAACTCACTTTCGTGCAACACATTCACGCGTCTATTGCTGCTGCACTTAGAACCTATGGCTTTATATATAGGAACTGCAGCAATTTTTGTAATATTAGAACACTTAAAATATTTTTTTGTTCCTTGATTAGATCGAAGTTGGAGTATGGTACTTTAATTTGGTATCCGATTTATGAAATACATTGACGTCATTTAGAATCTGTTCAAAGACGATTCCTCAAATTTTTAGTATATTTGGAGGATGGTGTTTATCCCCCTCAAGGTTATGAACACTCCCTGTTACTTTCTCGTTTTAATTTTTTGTCTTTGGCTGTACGACGAAAAGTGATAGCGGTCAAATTTTTATATAATTTATTTCACAATAAAGTAGACTGCATTGATATTCTAAGTAGATTTAATATATGTACTTGTACCTAGACTTAATTCTCGTCAACAAGTTCTGTTTTATATTGATTCTAGCCGTACAAACGTCTCAGTTCACTCTCCAGTGTCGGTTATGTGTAATTTATTCAACAAAATTGCACACTTATGTGATATTAATTTTGATTTTAGTTTTAGTATTTGTAATTGCATTGTAAATTTGGGTTAATGTTTAATTAGCTGTAGATACTTTTGTTTTTTCAATATTTATACTTTTTTAGTTACTGTCATGAATTAGTTTAGTTAGTTTGATATTATTCCTGTAATTGGGTGTTACCTGTAGGAATAAATATTATTATTATTATTATCAACATAACGTCTCTACTGCAGTTTCCGCGTCAAGCTAATATAACAATATAACAGTTATATGTATAACTAATAATTACTACAAATGAAACCAGAACGCAGAATTTATGGATTTTATTCCTTGAACGCAACAGTGGTATATTTATTGCTTGAAAATCCGAATTCAGTGTTCCATTCGTGCTTCCCCGTCACCGCGACGGTGTTCCTCGGACAGTCTCTACGTTTGACGACTTGCTGCCTCTCGGACTGACGAGCTCTCCCGACAGATATGCTCACATAATACTCCTATAAAATTTTACTCATTAGCGGGAGTTTTTTAACTATTTACATCACAGTTATACTGGAAAAAAGTAACCAATAACAACCTACGGGAGTTTTATTGATTTTACACTCCCTAGGGAGCATTAAGATGTAACATTATATAATAATTCATTATTGCATGAACATTTATTAACAATAACAATTGGTACCTACAAGAATACAAAAGCGTCTAAATCTATTCTTTTACATAATGTACATGAAAATTTTCTACATGTTTTATTATGATGTTTCCGTGAGCAACTGGAAGTTTTTCTTCAATATTCTTAATACTACTTTGACACTTAAAATTATCTAGTTGCTTCGATTCTTCGGCTAATAAAATCTCAACGACAGCAGCTGCATCGCCTGCGTGTTTTTCGTTCACCACGCATTCTTTTCGCTGCCCAAAATCATCCGCACCATCTTGACTTTGTGATGCACACTTTCCTCTATGTATCCTTCTGCTATGCTTCCACTTCTTGATCCTCCAGCCCTCTTGAGTGTTGTAATATCAGCACCTCCTTCCACAAACAATGTGGAAGCGGTTCTTGTTAAGCAATGTCCAGTATAAGCCTTAGCATTGTCTGTAGTTTCAAAAATTCCGCGATTTAACGATTTTTAGGATGCTGCCGAAAGTGTTCTTACCAACGGGTTGTAGTGTGCATCTACCATTCCTACATGTTTCCATACAACAACATATTCAAAACATTTATGACTATTATGACTATATTCACCTGAATGTCAAAAAAATATATATTCTGGTCGCGCATATTTCCGGTATATTGTTAGCGCCGGAATATCACCATCATCAATTACTGTGAATGACCGTTTCTTGTGAGTTTTTCTTTGGCGTAACGTAACTACAAGAACTGAACCACGATCTTCTATGGCGTCACACTGTAAGTTTACTAGTTTATCACACCTACAAGTGCCACAAATTCCCATCAACAAAGCAACCTAAATAAAATAATTTTTACCATGAAAAATAGAAAAATGTTATTTGTACCTTATGCATAAGATATTTATCATTAGGAGCTTCTTTCAAGAATGTAATGATTTGCTCTCGGTTCAAAACTTTCGATTTTTTTGCTTCATATCCGATGCTTTGTTTCTTCAAGAAGGACCTTAACTTGCTGTAAGTTGCTATATTCACATCCCTTTTAACGCATAGCATTGATCGTTACATTGAATATTTGGTCCACAAGGAACTGCTCTTAAACGATAATTTGAAAGGAGCAACATTAACAAAAATCATTACATACCATATCAGCAAAATAGGCAAGAATAACTGCTTCGTTGATTACATTCACCTTTTTCTTTGCCATCCATTCTTCAAAGCCATTATATTCCTATTCATATCTCTTCTTCGACTTATCCGGCAACAAATTGCCTATTGCTTTTTCTGCTTTTTCTAGTAGTATTTCGAGCGGAATTTCTTGTGAACCACAGCTGGTCTTCTGGTATTCCATTTTATTTGTTATTTTTGTTATAAACAACTCCACGGCAACGATTTCGCGCTACTTACTTGATATAGCAATAATAAAAAACATGTAATATTTTTTAATTATTATTAAAGCTAATGAGTAAAACCACGTACATTACACGGGACGAACAATCAAAACACTCTCAAGCGTAATTAGCCCCCTCCTGCGTCGGGGGCCAAACTACTATTTCGGGTGTCATAATATTGTTTCGCCCCTCTTAATATAATGTACCATTGTTACTCTAACATTATGCAAATCTTATGTAGCCGTAACCCACTGGCGCATAACCATGTTAAACATATGTAACATACTGTAACAGCACAGTATTGATATCTATACTGTGGTAACAGTTATATGAGTGGTTATGTAACAAATAGACAACATCAACGTAACGTCTCTATTCCGATTTCCGCCTCAAGCAATTATAACGACAATATAACAGTTATATAATTCTGTTACTCTGATGTTATGCAAACGTTATAATAATATTTATTCAATTTTGACATGTAAACAAACGTTTATTTTGCCGTCAGCAGGCCACTAAAGCTTTGGTTTATCCGGTAGCACCATAAAATTTTTAAACCGCTAGCGAAATAAAATTTTTATTTTGCTGTTTTAAAACCATGGTTACCATTTCTGTAATTTCTCCAATGCCTTGCTGCTCTTTCCATCTAAGGAACTTTTGATACACTTTCTGATTTGCTCTTTTTTGGGAGCAAGTTTTGCCGTTGGAATCTTGCATGATTTTGCAATTTTTCGATAATTTTAGTTTGTTTAAAATAAACAAACACCGTCGCCAGAGTCACATACTACACACACACACCTGATATTGTAACATAAATTCTACGCATATAAAACTTTTATTTGGTCGCTGTCAATTCTGACGTTTCTCGAATGTGAACTTTGAATCACCAATTTTTTCACAATTTGGGACTTGGGGTTGGCAAAATTGAATAAAAGTTTGTATTACACTCGCGGTTAAAATGAATGTGTAACTCGCGGTCTTAAGGCGCTCGCGGCATACGCCGCTCTCGCCTTAAACTGACCGCTCATTAAACATTCACTTTAACCGCTTGTATAATAAATAACTATTATTAAACGGAGCGATTGTTCTCCTTTATCATGTAGGTACAGAAAATAAATACAATTACTTATAACTAACATCGACATCATCACAATATACAACGTAAGTAATGTAACACACCATTAAACAAAAAAATATATATATAACACATCACAACAAAAATTATGCTGCACTTAAAGTGTTTCGTACCAAATTTTTAAAACGCTGCAGAGGGGTGGTCGCAAATAGATGTCATATTTATTAATTGATCTACTATTTCGACACCGACTGGTATTCATACCATAATTGGTTAGAAGCAAGGGTATGTCAAATAAATTGTTTGATCTTGCAGGATATGGTGGAGCATGAAGAGAGAAATCCTGCAAGATATGAACACTTTGAAACCAAAGGAAATATTTGTAAATGTGTGGCGGTTTTTAATTGAGGGTAGACCGAAATAGTTCAAAAGTTCCTTGTAGTCGCTATATTTGAAATTGATACCTGACTTATGTGCAAGGTATCACTGCTTTCCTTTGGATTTTTTGAAGCCTAACTTTTGAGTTCTCATACTTTGGTGTCCATATTGTAGAGCAATAATCAAGCAATGAACATATAGTGTCATTAAAGGTCGTGCACTAATAAAGTCTTTGGTTTGCCCAATAATAAAACCTAGCCTTTTATTGCATTTATTTATTACATCATTAATTTGAAGGTGTGAACCTTGTGGAACGCCCGATGTGACAATGATTGGGGATGAGTAATGCCCATTAACTTTAACAACTTGTGTGCGTTCTCTTAGATATGAGTTAAGCCATGACAAAATGTTTTCTTGTAGACCAAATCTTCTCAACTTATAAATCAAAATGTTGCAATCAACTGTGTCGAAAGCTTTGCTCATATCCATGAAAATAGTGTCGACCTCGGAGCCCTTCTCCATAGTTTTCACAACAAAGTCAGTGAATGTATATAAATTTGTGCACGTAGACCTACCCTTATAAAAACCATGTTGTTCTGGAATAATTATATTCCTGAGAACCTGAGATAACTTATCACATACAATAGATTCGAACAACTTAGGAACCGTGGAAAGAATAGAGATACTCCTATAATTCTGGACATCCGATTTAGGGCTTGTTTTATGTAAGGAAACAATATACGATCGCTTCCATAGGTTCGGAAATAACGCGGTTTTCAAGGATTTATTAAATATTATGAACAATGGTAGAGCTAAGGTGTCGGCACAGCGCTTCACAAATAGCGCAGGCCTAGCATCAGGACTAGCACTACCACTGATTTTCAATTTATATAAAATATATTAATTGAAATTCAATTTATATAGCCCTAACATAACTTACGCATAACCGTGTTATACATGTTAGGTATATCTTTTTTTAATGTAACTGAACTGTGACACTTATATAACAGGTTAAGTAACAAAAATATAACATCAACGCAATGCTTCTATTCCAATTTCCGCTTCAAGCAACTATAACGGTGACGTAACAGTTATACAACTTTTTTATACCTTGATTATATTCTCGCGATATAACTTCTCTTTTACAATACTGTAGATGTTATGTAACAATCATTTTAAATTAGATTACAGGTATTGCTTAATTTTGCTCTCGGCAAAGCACCTTCATTAATATGACTATTTCCTTCGAAAAATTTAAGCCAATCAAAAAACTGAAATATTTCATTTTTATCCAATAATCCTTTAAACGGGTCAAAGAACATTATTTTTGGGGCCTGGTATATTCCTCCGCGATCTGAATTAATTGTGTATGAACAATTTTGTAATTTAATCATTAATAAATATCAAAAATACGAAGATTCGTCTGTCTATATCTGCGGCGATTTCAACCTTCCACACGCACGGTGGAATATTGTTGATAATACATTAATTGCGGAATCCTCAAACAGCTGTCCCAAAGCTATGGCCATTGCCAACTGCTTTTCTTATTTAAATATGTATCAGATTAATAAAATATCCAATAGCAGAAATACATTTTTGGACCTCGTTTTCTCCAATAATTTAGAAACACAGATACAATATGCACGTGAAACTTTAACCAGTGATTTCATCCATGACGCTGTATTTGATTTTCAAGTATTATTACGCAATGCACCTTATTCAAATATGAAAGTAAATGACGCCTATTACGATTTCTCTAACGGTGACAATGATGCCATAAACTATTTTTTTCACTAGTAGAAACCATAAGACAATAAACTGAAAAAATAAACGTTCAATTTTTTGACGCAACATGATTTTGTTTTGATTTCTAATCAAAGTTAATCTAAATCTTCAACACAAAGAAAACCGTTTATACTTGTCGCTGAGTTAATCATTTTATCTTCTACCGTCTACCAACTACTATGCGTATACTCAAGTAATGTTTGTAGCACACATTTGTTCATTTTTTAAGAAATAATCACATCAAACCATGGAGGAAGGAATATAATGGAGGGAGTGAGAGTTCAAATAAGTGATCCCGCGCCAAAATGCGTGAAAGCAATAAAAGGTGCTTCAATATGGCTGCCGCTTCAGTGGCGTATCTTAATAGTATTCATAAGGGGCCCCACTACTCAAAATTATATTCAATGCAAATATTTTTTTTAGAATATCTAAAATTTGAATTTTACTCATAGAAATTTATTTTGTATAATTATAATCAACAAAAAACCCAAATTCACATCAAAGTTTGAATTTTTGCTGTATAATTGTTGCGAGATCTTTGGAATAACATTTAAGGAGATAATATTATAAAGAAAAAACATTAGCCAAGAATAATAAAATCATTATATAAAATTATAAATGACTGGTAGTTACGCTAAGGTTTTGGGAATAGGGTGAGGTTAAAGAATAACAGACGAATTTGTATATGTTGTAATTCTAGCAGCTCGATTTTTTTTATTAATCCAATCAATGCATATCATTACCAGTAATCATAGAAATGTTGCCTCAATGCCAGTCATTTTCGGGTTAGCGGTAGGTCTTAAAATAATTTTATTAAAAGGCAGTAAGAGAACTGTACTTTATAATTTGTATAATAATTAATATTAGTTTACAAATATGTACTAGATAATAATAACATAAATGTTTTTATAGGGTATTAAAAGAATACAATATTACAAAATAAAGATAAACTCACTTAAAGGAAATACATACAATTTAAATAAAAAGAATACAGGATTACTACAAAGATGAGTTGGTTTCAGCTAAAGGCTTGATACTTTTCTGAAAAATAGTATAAGAATAAAAAATATATATATAAGAAGAAACAAAGTAAAACGTCAACGCAATCAAATATGTTTTAGATTTTCTCCATATAATAAAACTGAACATGTTGTTTACATTTTTTTTTTTTAATAAACCACATTTTGTAACTTTATTGCCCTTTAAAATGAATCAACTTAGTATATCTTTGCCTATCAGAATCTACTAAATAAGACTTACTTTTCCAACTGTATTTTATACGCAAATTCAAATAAATATTAATTATTTCTTTCAACAAAAAAGATGTATGGAGGTGATTTCTATGAAGCAATTTCTCACAGTTTAAATTTTCAATGATGTAAATTACAATTTTGCATTTACTAAGTTTGGTGTGTACTCGCTCATGTGTTCTGTAAGTTTTTTCACTTTGTACGCAAATGGCAATCACATCGTCACTAGGATAGCTCAATCCCCCCTTTGATTTGAAATCAACAAAACTTCCTAATAAGTTCTCTTTTATACCAAAAAGGCATGATGTACATATTTCACATTTCAAAGATTTGGCTAATTTAAAAGCAACAAATCCAGCAATGTAAATGACAACTTCCTCACAAAAATTTGTTAAAGATTCCTGCCTAAAGAAATAATTATGTTCAAAATTAACGGCACTTTCCTGAGTAACTTGTACGTCACTTGTTAATATCAATTGATCAGAATTAATAATATTTTCGAGTTTTTTAATTCGAGACGAACATGTCAAAATATTTACTTGCTCTAAGGGTACACAGTTTCCAAAACCACTGTGATTTATTTCTGCGTGTATTAATAATTTTTTATATGCAGATTTAAACTGACGAGTAGTAGGGTTATTATTGCAGCCCCCTAAATTTCTAATTTGGAAGAAAAAATTTTCCAAATGATCTTGACTGCATTTATAGGTGGGCAGATACTGTAAAATTGACGTTCCTCCATCACCCACTACATATTGTTCATAAATATTTAATACTGCATGTAAACCAGCTACAAAACCTATAAAACCTGTTTTACGGGGCGAGTGAATAATTAAATCTTTGTTAAAAAATCTCAATTTGGATATATACGAAGTAAAGCAATTCACAAACGTTTTTACCTGATTAATATTATACTTATTTAATGCTTGCTTGTAACCAAATTCCTTTATTCTGCGCGAATTCAATATGTCAAAACCGTCATTAATATTTAAAATGAAGGTAGCCGTTGCTCCACAGTTCTTAAACTGATCTAGCTGTAAAATATCTCGACAAAACGTCAAAGCTTCAGAGACAGACCTGCTTAACAACTGTGTAGCTAGAGCAACTTTCATTTTTTGTTTAAAAAAATTTATGTCTTCTACGTAGTTTGTTTGCAAGGTGCAGCCCTTCATTTTCTTGCAGTTCATTTAGAAGTTCTAAGTATTTAAAATCAATAACATTATACTCCTCCATCGACTATTTTTCTTTTGTCACCAAATGTGTTACGTATTAATTTCATCATGTGTGAAGCATCAAGTAAAAGAAGTATATTCTCTTCACCAAAGTTTGTTTTCAAATTAGAAGGGCTAAATGAGCAACCTAATGCAGATGCCATTGACAAATTTGTCGCACAACCATCAAATGTAATATTGCTAATTTCAATTCCTACACTTTTTACTAAAAATAAACACTGTTTTAGTAAACCTAATTTTTGCTCACTATTTAAAGAATGGCTTAAAAAGTAACCCACAGGCATTTTCCAAGAGCCATTTATAGCAACCAGCATGAAAACTAAAGCTTCTTTGGCCTCTTCATTTTCATTTACTTCGATTATACTACCCATATCAGCATATCCATAATATTGTTGCCCATCATATTCAATGCAGCGTTTAATAGCAACTTCATCGAACACTAAAGAACACACAATTTTACGTTCTTCAGCCTTTGCTTTTAACACGTCGAATGCCTCACTTGTGAAACCTGGTGCACCATTCACTGAAGAATACCATACAGACAAAGTTTTTGGGTGTGGAAGACAGTCCATGAATTGTTTTCTTATAAAAGAAAAAGCCTTTGGGGAGTAGAAATGTGTTGTAACGGCAAATTTTCTTATTTCTGGCCCATATTGATTTGGCAATGGTTTGTTGTTAATTTTAGCCCACATTCTGCTCAACAGTTCTGTATTTTCCTGAAATTTATTAACATCCACACTGTTGTTTTCATAATAGTTGATTTTCTTCCTTAAACTTGAAACAACATCTTTCAGATTACAAATTTTGCGTTGCTGTTTTGAGGTTCTGCGTTTTAACGTTTTAATGGTGCATTGTTGTTGTGACACTAATGTCTTCAGGTTGTTAATTTGTTGTTTCAGTAAAACGTTTGCACATGTTTTTGTTGTTAAATTTTCAAGTTTCTTTGTAATTTCAAAAACTTTATTAGACAATTCATCTTCTATATTCTGTTGAGGCTCTACCGAAGGTGCGTCACAAACTTCTGTGTGATGCGTTTCATTGCCTCTAAAGGTCACTACATTGGTAATCTAAAATAAATATATGTATTAATTGTTATATCATGCAGCATGTGAGTTTATTTAATACCCTTTCTTCATAAGTATAAGAAATAGTTGGTACTGAATGTGGCCTTAAAACAACTTTCTGGGCTGATGTTCTATCAAAACACTTTTCTTCAAAATGAAATGAACACAGGAAAAAGTTGTTCACAGACACAGAATTTCGTAGGTGAAGATAAAGGAAGTCTGTCCACAGTTTCTTTAATTCAGGTTTCTGGGGACACCTAAAAGCAATTCAAAAATATTCATTAATCCCTCTTAAGCAAATATAAAAGAAACAAACCTGAAGCCACTCGTAACTTTACACAATTTGCAACTAACCATTTTAAGTTTTTAAATAAACATGAAACGCTTATCGCAAATTCAAAACAAAACGTTCACACTAAACACGAGGTTAAAAGCGAAAATGACAAAAAGAGAATCGTACGACACTGGTCAGTGCCGGCTGATGAAATTATTAAAGTAAGCATGCGCGGTGAAGGGCGCGCTAATTGAAAAGAGTAATAAAAGGTGCTTGCACTGGTGCCAAGAATTTACATTGCCGAGATACGGCGCACTCCCTCCATTATATTCCTTCCTCCATGCATCAAACATTGCGTACATAACCTCAATTTTTCTTTTTGAACCGGTGGTCGCAAAAGTTGAATTTGCTACCTCTAAATGAGTCGACATTTGCATGCGTCATGGCTGCTAGTGAAAAAAAGAGTATATTAACCACGGTTGCAAAGCCACTTCTGGACCTCGCGCTTCAGAGCCCTCGACGCTGCGCGTCTCGGGTTCTAATTTGCGCTCGGTCTAGAATGCTTGGCTCTGCAACCTTGGCTAATAATATACTATTCTTTTACAAATTAATTGGGAAGAACTGTTTTCTGACTCTGATCTAAATGTACGCCTTAACAAATTCTATGGTATTATAAATGAATCTATGCGCAAGTGGATCCCTGTCAAATACTTTAAGACATCGTGTTTTCCCAAATAATGGTTTTCTAATAAACTGAAAAACCTTATTTATTCTAAAAAAAGACTACGTAAACTTTATAATTAAGCGGTGATCTAAATATATATGACGAATTTTCTAGACTCAGGAGGTTATGTAAATTAAAAACAACGGAATGTTACAATTTATATATATCAAAAACTGGAAACTGAAATTAATGTTACTCTTTTTGGAAATTCTCGAAAGAGAAAAATAACATGAACGGTCTTCCAAATACTATGAAATAAAACAATGAAACATCAGTTGATTCAATGAGTGCATCCAATTTATTCGCTGACTATTCTAAAACAGTTTATAGGGATTCGCAAATCAGTGTTGATTATTTTAATGTACAAGTTAACTGCTTAACAGACTTTAACTTAAGAATGTTTTCGTTAAGTGAAATATTCGATGCGATTCTTAGTTTAAAACCTGCCAATAATGTAGGTCCTGATGGAATTTCAACAAGATTTCTGGTTTCTTGTATATTTAGTATTTCTAAACCAATACATCTTTTATATAATTTATCCCTTTCTTCTGGTGTGGTTCCGAACATCTGGAAAGAAAGTTTTTTAGTTCCTCTTTTTAAACCTGGAAACAGAAAACTCATCACAAACTATAGAGGGGTATGTATTCGGTCAGTTATTCCCAAGCTTTTAGACAAACTTATATCTAACCAGCTAAAATTATCGTGCAAGCATATTATTCATAGTCGGCAACACGGATTTTGTCAAGGAAGATCCACTACAACCAATTTAATATTACATCATTGTCAATGCTTTGGAAAAAGGATTTCAGGTTGACTCCATCTATGAAGATTTCTCCAAGGCTTTTAACAGAGTTAATCACAATATTTTGTTATATATATAAATTAATAATGATAAATTTTGGCACCAGATTTCCTAAATGGATCGAAAGTTCTATTAATAATAGGAAACAGTTCGTCAAAATAGGGAATTCTGTCTCTGATCCGGTTGTAGTTTGTTCAGGTGTGCCACAAGGCTCGCACTGTGGTCCACTTTTATTCTTATTGTTTATCAATGCTGTTAAGTTTTTAGAATTATTTCTTTTCGCGGAAGATTTAAAGGTATACAAAGCAATTAAGAATTTGATGACTGCATGTTGTTACAAAGGGATTTGGGTAATATTTTTCAGTGGTGTTCATCTAATGATATGGGTATTAATTTTGATAAATGCTATGAAATTTGTTTCGGTAAGTTGAATTTATTTCTTGACTTTACTTATAACATACATAATGTAAATATAGCACCACTCTAGGAAATACGCGGCTTGGGCGTCATATTTGATTCAAAACTTAGTTTTGTCCCTCATTTACAAATGACTTTTAATAAATCACTACGAAGGTTGGGTATGGTAACAAGGGTTTTAACTGAATTTCTGTTCATACATATAAAAATGTATATTGCACTATAGTACGCTCTACACTGGAATATGCTAGCATAGTATGGTCACCACAGTATATTACCAGTGTTGGGGACAGATACTTTTAAAAGTATCTAGATACAGATGCAGATATATGGAAGATAAAAATATCTAGATACAGATTGTTTTCGATTTTTTCGAAATGTATCTAGATACAGATACAAGATACTTTCTGAAGCTTTGGCGAATAAAATAACTGAAAACATGTTTATGTATTTTTTTATGTATTGTTTAATGAATTTTTTAAAATTAACAACATTTCGAACGTATTGTTACTAGGGATGTGCCGACTAGTGGCCGACCGGTCGGATAAGCCGACTATTCGGCCGTTTTTCATCGTCGGCTGCAGTCGGCGACTGGTCGGCTAAACAGCCGATCGGTCGGCTTTTTTTTTATTAAAATTAAAATAGTATATAAAACAATTAAACCCAGTTTACAGAACCTCAATTAAATATTTAATTGTGATTTAATTTTTAACCCCGCGTTAAAGTACCGTGTGACCGACTCTACGCCAATCAGACGTCGCTAATGGCCTTGTTAAATGCGCGTTCAACTTAATCTCAGTTAAAATATTATATAAACTGGCCCTAAATTATGTTATTCTTTATTTTTGTACTGAGTTACTAAAAAAAATTAAATGTTAAAATTACCCAAACAAATTTAACAATTTTTTTGGAAAACAAAGGAATTTTAGTTATTCCTTTTATTAAAATAAAACAAATTTTTAAGGTAGTCAGAGAAATAAAAAAAACACTGTATCGCATTTATAAACCGGTTTTAGCAAAGCCGAACAGTCGGCCGACTAGTCGGTTTTTACTGGCCGAACAATCGGCTAGTCGGTTAGTCGGCCAGACCTACAATCGGTACATCTCTAATTGTTACCTAAATTATTTCTGCTTGGTGTCAGAATTTGGTTTCCGGTACTAAACACCCGTTCCACAGGTGCAGAAGAAGGGATTGTGGTATTAAATTTAAAAAAATAAACATTTTACTGTAGCATTGTTATTCAAGACTAAAAAATCTTTTCTTTTTTCCTGCAAATAGGCCATCGTTTCGCTCTTTGATGTGTCGCAAATTGTGCAATATTTATTACGTACGTTTAAAAAGAATATTTTTTTAAATTTTATTCCCATACTACGGTATCCAAATTGTGTTTGAGTATATTCAATAATTATCTCCAGCATTGAAATTAATATTTCAAAAGAATACGGGAAATGATTATTCTGGTTTGAAGGTCTGTTGTCGGCAACCTGTCATAAATTATTACTCTTCAATATCGGCTTATGATGTTTTTATGACCATGTCCGGTAATCGTCTATCCCGGTGCGGCAGGTACATTTTAGGAAGAATTACTGGTTCCGTTTAATACGGCAAAATAAGTACAATTTCTTAGATAGGTATTTAAACCCCTTATAGGATCAAAGGCTGGCTGGCAGGCCGGAATCACCAGAGTGCAACTTTAAATTTTCAGATTTTTAAAATTATTCTACCGAGGGTTGTAAAAATATTAATTTTATTGCCCAAGATTTACACTTACATAATACATAATACATAACATAATCGGCACATTCTAGGGCAAAACGGACCTACCAAGCCCGCCTCGCGTTAGGTCCAACAATGAAAAAATGAAGAAATGACATATGTGGCAACAGGAAAAGATGCTACATTTGTCTGAAAAACAAAGTTATAAAACAGTAACAAATATGCGATTTATGCGAGAGAAATGTATGTATTAAACATTCGGTTAGTCGATTACAGAACTAATTTGTGCTAATTGAAAAAATTAAACATTATGTAACATGCAATTATTATTTTCTAAAAATAATAACATACCTTAAACAAATGTTTTTATTATAAAAATGACTCTTATTTAATAACACAAATACAACCAGCGGGCCTACCGGACCCGGGTTGTTCAGGTACACAGATAAAATGCATTGCCCCGGATGAGGGTAAAACGCAGTGAATAGTGAATTGTGGTTTATGGTTTTTAAAATACCATCTTACCATGGCTTAGATTTATTACCCCTCAGGATTTTATTTAAAGATGTATAAGTACTGAAGGCTACAATGTAGGAAATGATGGTATTTAAAATATGAAAATTTCCGTGACAGAACACTATTAGTGGACCTCTTACCTCTATTTTTGATTATGTGACCAAAATCACCAACATGAAGTATCAAAAATTACCACTAGTATAACTCAACTAATAACTACTGGAAAAAAAGTGAAATAAAAAAATTTATTTGTATCTGCGCCATTAATTTTGTATCTAGGTACAGATATTTTGTGCTTAAATTCGATTGTATCTAGATACAGATACTAGATACCCAAAAATGTATCTAGATACTTATTTAGATACAAGTATCTAGATACTGTCCAACACTGTATATTACTTATACATATAAGGATAATTGAAAGAGTTCAAAATAAATTTTTATGTTACTGTACTTGGAAAATTGGTTTTAGCCCAGACTATTCTTACCAGCTAATTAGAAATATTTTAGGCCTAGATTCCCTTGAAATACGTGGAACAAACGCAGACTTGATTTTTATATATAAGCTCTTTAATGGTAATATCGACTGCTCCGAATTATTGAGTTTGGTTTCTATAAACTGTCCAAGAGGAGTACTACGAAGCAACCCAATTTTCAGTGTCACGCTTCACAGGACAAATTATGGATTTTTTTCACCATTGGCGAAAGTGTCCCGAGTTGTTTATGTTCATAGCGAATTTATAGAAATCTTTGGGGTATCACATATATGCTTTACGACATCCATTCATCAAAAGTTATTGTAGTAGTACAACGAGTTTTTATGCACAGCGTAATTATTAGTTTCTCTTCATTATCTAGTTATTATATTTCTTTTGTTCTTTTCTTTTTTTATATTTCTTTATTATTT